GAGACCAGGGTTTAGATCCTGGCTCAGCCATGGAACCCCCCTGAGTGACCTTGGGTGAGTCACACTCTCTCAGCCTCAGAGAAAGGCAGTAGCAAAGCCCCTCTGAACAAATTTGGCCAAGAAAACCCTAGAAGAGGGTCTCCATAAGTTGGAAATGACTTGAAGGCATACTATTGCAACAAAAAGTTATACCTGATTTTTGCTTTGCTATTTTAGAGTCTTTCCCATAGCTCTTTACAATCTTAATCACATTTGCTTTCACATTAGTAGGGTGCTGCTATGCCTATTTTATGGATAAGGTGTTAAGGCTGAGGAGTAATGACTTGTCTAAGGCCATAAAAATGGATTAATAGACACAGTGTGGATTATAAACAGTCCAAGCTTAACTGGGTGCAACTGGCCCAGAAGAAAACCTGCCCTTCAGCCAGTCTGCATTTGGCCTAGATTTTATACAACATCAGTTAGGAAAGTAGAAGGGATGGTGGGGGCTGGGAGGGATGGTGGGGGCTTGAAGAGAATAAAACAGTAAATGGTTTGGTATTCTTTCCCATAGCAATGAACAGAAATGTGCAACCTTAATGTGAACTGAAGAAACCTTACCTCTCTTTCCCTTTCCCCTGCTCTTTGAAGACAATGCATTTTGTATTCTAGGCAATTACCATTTGAATCAATAAAAATCCAGCATCTTGATAAAGAGCCCAGGTACGCTTTGCTAGACCTCATCCCATAAGGTAACTGGAGCAGCTAATTTTGCATTAGCCATTGTGGCAGCTCAGATTATGTTCTTCAAAGACTGTTTCTCTTGTTCAAACACAGGGTTCATATCTTGGCTGAACATTAATGTTACTTGATAGGACCCACGTCCAGCTCCACATTACCCTTCCCCATGAATTAGGTTTTATAATAATAAGCAAAAGGAAGAAAGGTCTTTTTGTCCTGCTGTTGGGTTCATCCTGTGAAATTGATCAGGGACCAGGATTGATTACCACCAGGGAAGCAAAGAACTGATAACCTACAGGATCTGTATGGAGAATCCTTTCTAACTTTACAATTTGTAATTCTGGTTTTGGAGTCTTTCTTTTTTAAAAGCAGTTTTATCAGTATACAGCCAGAAGATCAAAATAAGATGCAACTTGGGAAGAAGTATCATTTAAACATCCCACAAATGACAAAGAAATAGGGTGCTATCTTTTGTGAGGCCTCTGACATTTGTTGTGGATGTGCTGCTGATTATCAAAAAGACTGGTATTCATGTTACCTATAGCTGCCTGGGAGCCATTTGCTCTATGGCTGTTCCCACATTGATGCTTAGGAAGGTAACTTTTGAATGGAAGCCAGAGCAATGGAAACCTACTTTACTCTCAGGCACTTGTACTTTGGCATACAATATAGTAACAAATTAAATAAGTAGCAGCTTAATAACAAATTTGCCACTCTTAAAGAATGTAAAACCTGCCTGCTGCAGCCTTACATCCTTTCTTACGTTGGGACCAGTTTTGCTTCCGCTGTAGCAAAGTAATCTCATAGCTAAAGAGACAAAATAAATGTTGTGCTACCTCCTTGTAGATAGATTTATTCATATGAAGGATTTTGAATGCTCCTCAGTACAGTTTACAAATCACTACTACAAAATAAAAAATAAAATCAAAAAGTAGAAGAAATAGTACTCAAGGTAAACAGAGACAGAAGTATTTCAGCCAAAAGGAAAGAGTCTTGCAGCTGCCCTAATCTCTACTGAAGAAGTTTCCACAATTTTGAAACAACTACTGTAAAAATCTTACACAGCTGTTAATGTTCATAACTTCTAGACAACAAAGCCTGCTTGCTGAGCCTAAACAAGGAAGTGGAGAGACAGTCCTTGTGGTATGAAGTTTCGAGGCATTAGGAGACTTAATGGTTAAAAAGAACCATTTGAATTGGACCCAGAAGCAAATTGGTAAGCCATTTTTGCTGAACCAGACTGAATATGATCTGTCTGAATGTCTTCAGCAATACTCTATCCCAGCTAAAGTTTCCAAGTCATTTTCAAGGGCTGTCCCACACTGAAAATCACTTTTATCTTGCAATAGTTAAAATAATCATAACTTAAAACCAAAAATAATTAGAATCATAGAGTTGGAAGAGACCACAAGGGCCACCCAGAGACGGCAATGCAGAGCTGGGGCCCAGGATAAATAGCACACTCTGTCAATAGCGCATTTGCCTATTGCCCCTTTTGTTCAGGTTCGCAGGGCTTATGGGGGCTGTGGAAAGTGTGACATTGGGACTAAGCCTCTGCTATCTAGGAGGACCGATGTATGTTTGTACCAACCAGGGGGAAACATGGGAATTATTGAATGAATCACAGAATTATAGAGTTGGAAGAGACCACAAGGGCCATCCAGTCCAACCACCTGCCATGCAGGAACTCAAAATCAAAGCACCCCCAACAGATGGCCATCCAGTCTCTGTTTAAAAATCTCCAAAGAAGGAGACTCCACCACTCTCCGAGGGAGTGTGTTCTATCCTCATGTTTAAGTGGAATCTCTTTTCTTATAGCTTGCATCCATGGTTCCAAGTCCTATTCTCTGGAGCAGCATCCTCAGTATGACTCTCCTTCAAAAACTTAAACAAGGCTAAGAGACCTCTTAACCATCTCTTCTCCAGGCTAAACATACCCAGCTCCTGAAGTCCCTCCTCATAGGGCATGGTTTCCAGACCCTGCGCCATTTTGTCACCCTCCTCTGGATACACTCCAGCTTCTCAACATCCTTTTTTAATTGTGGTACCCAGAATTGGACACAATATTCCAGGTGAGGCCTGACCAAAGCAGAATACAGTGGCACTATTACTTCCCTTGATCTAGACACCATACTTCTATTAATGCTAGCCTAGAATCGCATTGGGCTTTTTAGCTCTTGCATCACACTGTTATGCATGCACTACATCTGAAAATTTACATTGAAAGCTTGTTGTGTTGGAATCAAGGTGAGAATTATAGTATCATAGAATCATAGAGTTGGAAGGGACTACAATGGCCATCTGGCCCAACCACTTGCAATGCCTCCTGAGAGATGACCATCCTATCTCTGTTTAAGGACCATCAAAGATGGCGAGTCCACCATCCCTGAGGCAGTCCAAGAACTCTTGTTGTCAAGATGTTCTTTCTAATATATAGGAAGAATCTCTTTTCTTGAAATTTGAATCCACTGGCTTGTATTTTGGTTTCTTTGGGGCAGCAGAAAGCAAGCTTTCTTCATCTTCTGCATGATATCCTTTAAAATATTTAAAGATGACTATCTTGTGTGTATTCCTTCAAGTTACTTGTTAACTTATGGCAACTCCATGAATTTCATAGGGTTTTTTTTTGGCAAGGAATACTCAAAGGTGGTTTTGCTGAAATATAGCCTGCACTTACTGTACCTGGATTTCGTTGGCAGTCTCTCATCCGAATACTAACAATGGCTGACCCTGCTTAGCTTCCAAGATCAGATGGGCCTCATGGTATTTAGTCCCATATTTTCTCAAAGTTTTTTTTTTTGCTTTTGGGAGAAAGCTGAGACAAAGAAGGGGTTGAGCTATTCCATCATCACTTTGTTCCCTGTTGGATTTCACCATCTTCCCAATTCCATGTCTCTAGTGTTTCCTTGTTCTTCCTTTTGCTCCACACACAGCCCTCAAACACCTTTTCATTATTTTTTAAAAAACTTCACCAGCAAGCCTGAGCTTTATTCTGAGCTTTAGCTCCTCTTACTTACTTTCTCTGGGTTATGTTTCTCCTGGATATCTCCTCCTTCAAATTACCAACACCTCTTTACAGAGCTTCTTTCTGTTTCCTTGACCTCACAGATCTTGGTGTTGTGGCCTGCTGCTGTTTGTCTCCACTACTCAATGTGGAAAGTTTCCCCTGTTTTGAGGACTGGCCTCACACCACTTTCATGGCTTTCTTTGTGGTAACTGCCACAGGAAATTTCCCTCCAGAAACACTTTGCCTTGAAATCTTAGGTGACATTCACTCTTTTGCTGCTTGAAATCTTTCCACACTGGTGTTTTTTTTAAATAACAAACTCTTGAACAGAGGCAGGCCATGTAAGTCTGTGTGAACAATCTTATCTATTGTTATCCAGACACAAAGAAAGATTTTATCTTACCAAGGTTGGTTTAGACTCATTAGAGGCCCCTCCCAGTCTCTCAGAGATACATTTTATAGCCAGGTTCAGTTTGTCCAAAGGAGCAAAAATTATTCAGTTAACCTGTTTTTTAAGAGTGTGAATGCACAGTAAAAAGATTATATCTTTGTCACTCAAGCTTCCATGAAGACAGTGTAAACCAGGGGTAGGCAACCTTTTTCAGCCGAGGGCCGGGTTGCTGTCCCTCAGACAATTGGAGGGCCAAAGCACCAAAAATAAATAAATAAATAAATGGTGTACACCAGGGGTAGGCCTTAGGTTGCCTACCCCTGGTGTAAACCACCCAGTTTCCATTAGTGCAGGTGATGAGAGCTTGGTCTACAATGAGAAGCCTGCAGAAATACTAAAAGAGAAGGGATCCTACCCTACCACTACTATCAACAATGTTCCTGATCCTGCATGATGGCTAAAAGTAATGTGGCCTGCATTTGCAGATACTGGGGTTTCTAAGATAGTCAATTAAACACACACAGACACACATAGCCATTCTGTTACTGTGGCATCCCTTTGGCTCTTTAGCTTGGTACCCAGAAGATATGTTGCTCACCCATAAGGATGGCCCTGTGCAATTGATGAGTCAGTTCAATTGCTTGCTAATCCAGACTGCTAGCTGCCTGTGTACCTAGCTCCCTAGAAAGATAGTTCTGGAGAAAGATGGAGAAAGAAGGCAGCAAGTACAAGCATATTAAGTTCAGGGCCATTTAAAAGTGTCATCTTAAGTCACTTGGATGATGCCAGGTTTTTACTTGCAATTTTTCCTTGCCCTTTGTAAATGTCACTGTGGCTTTTTTAAAATGGTGCTCAGGTGTTTCTGGGTTCTTTTAATTCCTGGTTGGTGTGATATAGTGGTTTGAGTGTTGGACTCTGATTCTGGAGATCTGTGTTCGATTCCCTGCTTGAGCATAAAAACCCACTGGGACCTCGTTCCTACTGTGATTTAACTCAAATTGCTGATCGGGTTATATGTTCCCCACTTGAAACTGGTTTTGATCCTAATGAGCTCAGTTTAAATTGCGATGAAGTGAGGCAAATGCAAAAAACCCCTGCTCTTTTCTGACAGTAGTTTCCTGGAGATTCTTTTGAAAATAACCGATTCAGAAGTGTGTTCAACAAGTGGGAACTACGGATCTGAATTGTATCATTCTGGAGAGGAGGGACTAATGGCAGAGGGAGTTGACAGAGGGGTGTTTACCATCCTGCCTCAGTTTTTGGGAAATCAGCCATTCCCCCCCCC